TGGCATTGAGCAGGAGGCCACCACAGCTTGGCGAAGGCCCTAGAGGAGAAAAAGAGGGACAGCCATTGGTTTGATGCTTCAGGGAAGTGCCGGGATGCCGGGACAAGCTATAGTCTTCTGAGGAAATGTCCTCAGGGTACAAGCCATCACAGTCCGCAACAGGATTTCACTTTTCCTGTAAGCAACTCCAGTCTCACAAGGCTGCTTCTAAGCTGCCAGCCATCAGAACTTCTGCCCCACATGCAACCGAGCACCTCCTCTCTGTCCCTAGGCTCTAGAACACGGACTCTCTCACAGAAGGTGGCCAGCATCCCAGGGATCAGTGGCCCTGAGAGCACAAATAGCCAGAAAGCAACAAAGTCATTGTCACTGTCCAATGACAGTGAGATACACCTGGGCCACGTGGGGGGAGCACTCATGGGACATTCACTCATCTCCCAGCATCCCCTGAGATTCTGACACTTCCCACGTGGGGCAGGAGCAGCGAGGCTGCAGCAGAAGGCCTGGGTTTGCATCCTGGCTCTGCCTTTTCAGGGCCATGATCTCGAGCCAGCGACTTAACCTTTTCTTCCTCCGTGTCCACTCTAACGAGTGAGGATAAGCACTGGGTAATACGTGAAATGATACGTTCACCCTCTTAGAGAAGTCACTGCCAAGGAGGGACAGGCCCTCCTCTTGCCGCTTCTGCAAATACGAGGGTGGAAAGCCCACTGAGGAACATTGCTCTGCTGGGCTGGAACGGACTCACCTGGGGTAGGAGTCGTTATTTGTGAAGCTGGAAGAAAGAGAAAGAAAACGGAGTCAGTCTTGGTGCCCTGGGTGCTTTTGAACAAACCATCCGGCACCCAGAGCCAGAGAAACGAGGGGTCTCTAGGGACTGCTTCTATCCTGGAGAGTCGACTGGAAGACTTAAGCCTTGGGGGTTAGACTGCCCCCCAAAAGAGGGAGGGGAATGTATCCTCACATCTAAAACTTGAGGAGCCTTGCTGGAGTACTGACTGCACACTGGGCTGGGATCCCCAAGGTTAGCAGATTAAAACCAACCGCTGCTCTGCAGGAGAAAGACGGCTTTTCTACTGTAACAAGAGTTGGTCTTAGAAACTCACAAGGGCAGTTCCACCCTGCCCTGTAGGGTCGCTGTGAGTGGGCATCCACTCAATAGCAGTGAGTTTTGTTTTCGGAGATCAAAACACTGCATTAATCCCTTTGTTGATCTTCGTGCCTAATGATGTTTAGCATGAAGTTGCAACAGCCCACCCCTACAATTCAGGAGGCAAGGGTGGCTGGTAGAGCCCTTAAAGTTTGGAGGGATTTTCCTGATTTCCTGGGATACTCGTGGTGAGAAACAGGCAAGTGCATGAGGCACCCTTTCTTGGGAAAATTCACAGGACACCCACCCCCCATCAGGGTCAACGGAGTCTGATGCCTTCTCTTAGAATGCTGCCCTGAGAGTCAAGCTGCTTCCTCATCAAGGGCTAGACTGAGGCACTTTCCCCAACACGTGAGCAGAGTCCTAGTCCTCAGCCTTCCACCTTTCTGTCCCTGGTCCATGAAAAGCCCCTTGTTGGGGGCCATGAGACATAGACAGCCCGCCCTGTCTACACAGCCTGGGGTCGAAACCTGAATGGGACCCTGGCAGCAGATGCGTTTCTCTGCAGCCTCTGAAACACATGGTGCTGCCCTTTTAGCCTCTATTCCACGTGGGGCAGCAAATGAAAGGGAAACACAACAGGCTGTGGCTTTCAGTTGGATCGCCAGTTCTAACTGATCATCTCGACACGCGGCAGCTCAAGAAAAATTAGCAATGAATCTTGGCAGATGGCTAAAAAGAATTCAATGAAGCAAGAAATATAAAAAGCATTTTCAGTAACAGGGTCAGAGCTAAGAATTCTCTTCCTCAGCAAAGCCTACTCCAAGAGAGGAAGCTTTCCATGCATCTGAGACCCACCTGAACAGATGACACCAGCATCCTCACTGTGGCGACAATTATGGGAGAGCCAGCCACCGTGGGGACAGTTCCACAGGTAGGACTCATATCCTGTGCAATTTACATCATCCAGGACGATCTGTCCTGAGCCCTGACCAAATTGGGCGCTTCCTGGAGCTGCCGTGGCCCAGCCACAGCCAAGCTGCCTGCAGACCACGTTGGCATCATCGGTGTCCCAGCTGTCATCACACACCGTGCCCCAGGAGCCTCGGTACAGGACTTCCACACGGCCCTGGCACCGGTCACGTCCATTCACCAGCCTCAGGGCTAAGCCAGATTCAGTCCCTGGAAGAGGGCACAACCATTGCTCAGTCATGCCTGAACTTCAGGTTAAAACCCTGCCACATGCCGGGCTCTCACTCAGGACCATGACCTGAGTGGAACTGGGACAAGCAGATTCCAGTGCAGAGCACGGAGGATCTACTCTTTAGGAAGAATCAGCCCACGCGTACCAACAGGGGACATCGGAAAGGGCAGCAGACAGGTGGTCCTAGAAATATGAATCTAGCCGGAGAGCAGACAGTTCTCCCAGTAACGACCTTCATTTGAGTTGAGGCCCCAACACTAGCATATGAAAACTTCAAATCTAACATGACCCTTTTACCATGCAACTCAAAACTGGTCGTTGAAGGGGGATTGCCCCTCAGTTCCCTGAGCTGTGAGCTACTCAGACTCAACTGAATAACCACAAACGACATCCAGGAGACAAGGATGACACATTTTGACGCGATGGCTAAATGCATATAATAATGGAACGATGCTTACCAAAGGAAGGAGTGGTTTGCCAATAATCTGAGGAGAAAGAGAGAGCTCGTTAGAGAGGCCTGGCGTGTTGGCACAGAGACCTGTATCTGGCAGGACAGTAAGATTTGGGAAACTTGGTTTTCTACTGGAGAAAACGGCCTCTTCGGGACAGGAGCTATGAACACAACTCATGCTGCTCCATGTCCACACCAAGGCCCTGTGGGGGGTCAACGCGGCCAGAACAGTGGGAAACTCTGCTCTCTGAGGGTTCTGGGGTAAAACATGCCTTGTTCTGGGCATTGGGTGTGGGAGGGGAGACATCTCTGTTCTCTCACGTGTCAGTGTTGGTCCAGGTAAGGTTTGCAAGCAGAGAAGGTCCAAGAACATCACCTCCTTCCCCTCACCTAGCTCAAGGGAAGCTCTGCTTAGCAGCCATGTCAGAGGACAGAATGTTCTGGTCGCCCCCACCCAGATGAGCGGACCAGTGTGCCCCAGGCTCCACGGCCCCAATGCCTTCCTCGACCAGTGTCAGGAAAGGTCACGGAGGATAAAAAAGACCTTCACTGACCCTTCTCCCAACTACCGATTGTGGACCCTGCAGGTGAGCAGGGATAGGAGGAATCACTTGAGTGGAAGGGAAATCAAAGCTTACCTGGCGTAGGTGTGGCCTGGGACGCTGTGAGAGAGAGAAAACAGAATCAGGCACATGGTACACAAGATGCCACTTTGGGAAGCAAGGGATAAGGCGGAGCCCGTGAGAAACTCAGACAATGGTTATCTGAGACAGAGATGGTGGGGCATCGGTCCTCCACCATCCTGTGAGAGGGTGGCACCAGGTAAAAGCTGAAGCAGTTTCTGTCTCTTCTTTATCTTCTCAACGTGATGAATTCTGGTAGCCAACCTGCCACAGAGCCAGTCTCATACTAATTGGCCAGACTGACAATGTGTAGGTGTCAAGTGCAGCCTAGGACCATTAGCAGGTTTACTTGACTAACCTCCTGAGACAAGCTGCCCTACGCAAAGCAGACGTGATGTCCTCTGTTCTCTGGAGGGGTGTCTGGTCAGTGAGTCAGACCCTCCATCTCGGTCAGCTGATTCTTATGCTTATCTGACCTCTGAACCATGCTTCCTTCTCCCGGGCTAAGCTGACGCATCTTCACCCAATTGACTGAGTCCAGTTCTAATCCTCAGCCTTCCACTTCTCTGGTCTCGGTCCCGAAGAGCCTGTGCTGGACCCCAGGAAATGGCACCTTCCCTTCGTCCACCCTGCGTGCTGTTAGATCCTGAAAGGAACACTGGCACCCGGTGCTTTTCCCCTTCAGGCCTCATACGTATGCCACATTCAATGCAAAAAATAAAAAGGGAAGGAAAGAGGGCTGCCTTCAGTTTGTCCACAATTCTTGACAACCGTCTCAACACCGAGCACCTCAAAGACAATTAACAACGAATCTTGGCAGATGACTGGAAATATTCCAATGAAACAAGAAATATAAAAAAAGGAATTGATGTATAGGGTGGGGATCTAGGATACATTCTCTTCTTAAAGAACTCCTACTCCCAGAGATGGAGCTTAAGGGATGCCTGAGACCCACCTGAGCAGATGACACCAGCATCCTCACTGTGCCCACAGTTATGGGAGAGCCAGCCACCGTGGGGACAGCTCCACAGGTAGGACTCGTGTCCTGAGCAGCGAACATCATCTAGGGCAATCTGGCCTGAGCCCTGCCCGAATCGGGCGTTGCCTGGAGCTGCCGTGGCCCAGCCACAGCCAAGCTGCCTGCAGACCACGTTGGCATCATTGGTGTCCCAGTAGTCATCACACACCGTGCCCCAGGAGCCTCGGTACAGGACTTCCACACGGCCCTGGCACCGGTCACGTCCATTCACCAGCCTCAGGGCTAAACCAGATTCTGTCCCTAGAAGAGGGCACAACAATTGTTCAACCTTGCCTGAACTTCAGGTTAAAACCCTGCCACATGCTGGGCTCTCACTCAGGACAATGGCCTGAGTGGCACTGGGCCAAGCAGATTCCAGTACAGAGCACGGAGGATCTTCCCTATCAAAACCATCAGCCCACACATATCAAATGAGGGACATCGGAAAAGGGGAGCAGACAGGTGGTCCTAGAAATATGAGTCTAGCCGGAGAGCAGACAGTTCTCCCGGGAACGACCTTCATTTGAGTTGAGGTCCCAACACTAGCGTATGAAAACTTCAAATTTAACAAGACCCCTTTACCATAAAGTTCAGAACTAGTCGTGGAAGGGGGGTTGCCTCTCAGTTCCCTGAGCTGTGAGCTACACAGACTTAACTCAAAACCCACGACCAACAACCAAGAGACAAGGATGACAAACTTTGATGTGATGGCAAAAAAATATAATAATAGAACCATGCTTACCAAAGGAAGGAGTTGTTTGCCAATAATCTGGGGAGAAAAAGAAAGCTGGTTAGAAAGAGACAAGGATGGCAAACTTTGTTGCGATGGCTAAAAAATATAATAATAGAACCATGCTTACCAAAGATAGGCGTTGTTTGCCAATAATCTGGGGAGAAAAAGAAAGCTGGTTAGAGAGGCAAAAAAGAAAAATGAGGAGCTGATTCCAGGAGCCCAAGCGGAAAGTGAGTGTTTTGAGAATGATGAAGGCAACGAATGTATAAGTGTGCTTTACACAATGGTTGTATGTGTGGATTGTGATAAGAGTTGTATGAGCCCCAATAAAATGATTTAAAATAAATTAAGTAAGAATCATATAATGAAGACCATAAGTAAGTACAGATACGCAGTGCCTGTTCCATTCTTTTTGCTGATGTTTGAAGTAGTCAGGTGCTTGCAAGCGCTGAGACAAAGGCTATGTCCACAGCACAGAGGAAGAACAAAGAAAGGGACTGCATTGAATGTGCGTCACAGCGAGGAGGTCCTGGTGAGGGTGGCCGGAGAAAAAGCCACCCTTGAATTAAACCTTTTCAGATGAGAGGGTCATCCTGGTCTAAGGGAGCATTACAAGGAAATGCATGAAACATTCTCATTATATCATATAGTATAGAAACTATAAGCAATCCAATATGACTAGAGATTTCATAAACTCTGGTTTCTACTACTTGGTATATAAGAAAGTAATAAATTTGTATATATAAGTATGTATGTATGTATATATATATAGAGAGAGAGAGAGAGAAAGAGAGAGAGAGAGAGAGAGAGTTGCACTTTTTAAAAACTGAGAATCAGTAATGTGTCCTTCGTTTCTTTTGTACACCCCAGGGTTATCTATGAATATGCTTAATAAAAATTTATTTCATTGGGAAAAAAAAAGAAAGGGCTGGAATGTTGGGCATTGAGACCTTTATCTGGAAGGACAGTAAGATTTGAGAAATTTGGCTCTCCGGTGGAGACACTGTCCTCGTCTGGACAGTGGCTATGAGCCCAAATCATGCTGCCCAATGTCTACACTAAGTAATTAAGGGGGGACTAGCGCAGAGAAGAACTACACACTCTGCTGTCAGAGTGTTCTGTGGCAAAAACATGCCTTAGCCTTTGCATTGGGCGTATGAAAGGAGACATCTCTGTTTTCTCACAAACAACTATTGGTCCAGGAAAGGTTTTTAAGCAGGAAGGATCCAAGAACATCAACTTCTTCTACCCACAAAATTCAAGGGAAGTTCTGCTTAGCAACCATGTAAAAGGCCAGAATGTTCTTATCACACACGACAGAAGAGGATCAGTGTGTCCTAGGTTCAAAGGGCACCAACTCACTAAATAGATGCCCACTCACGGTGACCCAATAGGACGGGGTAGAAATGCCCTTGTGAATTTCCATAACTGTAATTTTATGGGAGTAGAAAGCCCCACCTTTCTTCCACTGAGTGACTGGTGGTTTTGAACAGCTGACCTTGTAGACTACAGCTCAACATGGAATTACTATGGCACCTGGGCTCAAGCAGCTTCTTATCAATCTCTGCTCTCATGGCAAAAGCATCCCATAGCCTTTCCTTTGGAGCATGTCCAGAGAAATCCCTGTTCTCCTCTCAAATATAACTTCGGATCTAAGTAAGTCTTCCCAACAAAAAAGAATATCATCTTCTATTCCGCAAGCTCAAGGGAAGCTGTGCTTAACAAACACGTCTGACGTTAGCGTGCTCTTATCACACAGAACCAGACAGGAGGAGTTGTAAGCTGTCGGATCAGCTGGCACCAACCCCTTATAGGAAAGGTCATGCCGAATCATGATTACATCACAGGCCCCTCTTGTAATGATTGATTGGAGAAGGTGGAGGTAAAGGGAGAGATTGGTAGAGCATACCTGGTTAAGAAACATCATGACTTACTTGGCGGTGTAGTTATGGGCTGGTACTGGGAAGCTGTGAGAAAGAGAAAGCAAATCAGGAGGCATATTGTACAGAAGAGGTGCCCTTGGGGAGCAGAGGGTGAAAAAGTAGAGCTAGGCAGAAGAAACTCAGCCAATGGTTATCTGATACACAGAGGGTGGGGCATCTGTCATCCAACAGCCTGTCAGAGCTTAGCACTGTGTAGAAGCTCACCCAGTTGAATTCATTCTTCATCTCCTCGACGAGATAGGTGTGAATGGTGACAGCCAAGCTGACCCAGACCAATGTCCCACGCAGATGGCCAGACAGTGGATGTGTAAGCAGTCAGGGCAATTATCGGCCATGAGCAATGATCAGGCCTTGATTGACAAGCCTCCTGTGACAAGCTGTCCTACCCAGAGCAGATGGATGTTCTGTGTACTCAGGATAAGTTTGCAGTTTAGGACTCGGGCCCCCTCCATGTTGCTCAAGTGGGCCTTATGCATACCTGCACTTCTAACCTAGGGGCTTCCTTATCGTGGGCTGCCTGAGGAACTCTCATCTAGGTGCCTGGGTCCCAGTCTAACCTTAGCCTTCCACCCTTCCATCCTGACTCAAAAAAGCCTTGTGCTGGGATCCCAGGAAAAGAACCATTTCCCCGTCTGCATGGCAGGTTCTCAAACCCATAAAGGCACACTGGGACCTGGTGCTTTCTTCCTTAGCCCATCGCACACATGTCCCGTTAGATAAAGAAGAAGGAAAAGTTGATTTCTGCTTTCAGTTGGTTCACTGTTCAAGTAGCTGTTCATACCTGGCAGCTCAAGAAAAAAGATTTTGAAGATAGCAGAAAAGATTTAATTGAAAGAGGGAAAAATTTTTTTTTAGTTAACAGGGTAAAAGGTAAGAAGAATTTTCTTGGTGAGGAAACTGCACTCCCAGAGATGGAGCTGAAGGGATGCCTGAGACCCACCTGAGCAGATGACGCCGGCATCCTCACTGTGCCCACAGTTATGGGAGAGCCAGCCATTGTGGGGACAGTTCCACAGGTAGGACTCGTGTCCTGAGCAGCGAACATCATCCAGGATGATCTGGCCGAAGCCCTGCCCGAATCGGGCGCTTCCGGGAGCTGCCGTGGCCCAGCCACAGCCAAGCTGCCTGCAGACCACGTTGGCATCATTGGTGTCCCAGTTGTCATCACACACAGTGCCCCAGGAGCCTCGGTACAGGACTTCCACACGGCCCTGGCACCGGTCACGTCCATTCACCAGCCTCAGGGCTAAGCCAGATTCTGTTCCTAGAAGAGGGCACAACCATTGCTCATCCATACTGGAACTTAAGATTGACATCCTGCCGCATGCCCGGCTCTCACTGAGGACAGTGACCTGAGTGGCACGGAAAGAGACAGGACCATTCCATCTTCTCTTGCTAAATGACAATCTGCACACGCACATAAGAGAGCAGTTGAGAAAAGTACAGGAAATAGACAGCTTGGACACCCCAATCCTGCTGAATCTGGACCTGTTCTATGAAATAGTCCCAAGTTATATGAGCCACCCAATACCCTGCTAGGTTAACAAAATTTGATTTGACTTCCACTCACAGGCTAACTATAGCATCCTCCTTAATATGAACCCGTTACAACACAATTCAGACCAGCCAGATGAAGGGGACACTCTACATTCCTTGAGTTAGTGAACTACAGAAACTTAACGCAGCACCCAGGAGCCTCCTCCAGATCCATAAAGTTACAACATGAGGCTGTGGTCAGAAACACATGATCCTGGTGTTTCTGTTTGCCACCACTCTGAAGAGGAAGAGACGGAGGGCGAGAAAGGACTGTAGGAAGGGTCAGAATTGGGTGCAAAGACCTTGATCTGGGAATCAGAAACAAAAAGATTTGAGACTGTTTGCTGAGC